GCATTATGCGTAGGTATATAAGCGCGCGCGCACACACACACACACACATCATTATGACCTGTTTCATTTTGTGTGAATCCAGCTTATCAAATAACAGCTTAATATTATATGCAGGTTTATGTATATGTCTAGCGAACATACATTATAAATATCCGTATCTCCTTGAGAATACTGAGCGTATGACAAAATCGTCAAGATATATTAATTTGGCCAAAAAGTTTGTTGTGGCATCCTATATATATATATATTATATATATATATGAATAAAAAGACAAGAGTCAAGACTATTCTTAGCCGATGCGTTTTGTCCCCTGAGGTACTTTATCAAGGCACATTTGCTTTGATAAAGTCCCCCAGAAGACGAAAGGCATCGGCTAATAATAGTTTTTCCTCTTTTTTTTTTTATTCATTTTGTTCCTTTACAGATACACTATCTGAAAATAATATATAGATATGTGTGTGTGTATTTAGACAGCAAGGAAGTAAATTTTATGAAATTCCACCGACTTTCTATTATATTTTTCCAATTTTCGAGTGAGGTGTAGTACATGTGGATTGAAGTTATGAATAGATTTTTCTATTATGTTCAAGTGCTTTCGACTATCACATTCATTGTCAAAAGCTGGGTGTTGTCATTATGGTCAGCGAGTTATTTTTTTGGCGTTTTTAGATCACTTTGCGTTGATTCTAATTTCAATTCTTGCCATCTAGGATCGTTAAAATTTAGTCAAAAAATGTTGCTTATCATACTGACAACACCAAGTTTTTAACAATGAATGCGATAGTCGAAATACTTGAATATACCAAGAAAAAATGAACTTTTGACAATTTATTCATAACTTCAATCCCGATGTATAACACTTCATTCATAAATTGGAAAAATATAAAATCTTTAATAGACAGCACTGTCGGTGGAATTTATATATATTATATATATATATATATATATATATATTAGCCGCCTGAAAATCGCGGGAGCGTGAAACCCGAGTAACGACACGATCTTCTTCGTTGAATGTTGACGTTGCGAAGCGTTTTATTTTGCTTTATCTAGATAGTTTAGTTGTCGAGCACTTTAATTTACTGCGTAGGTTTGTGTTTGCCTTTTGGTCTTTTTTCATTCCTTGCTCGTGATTTTCTACTCGTCTAAAGTTTTAGGTATTTTGGCAAGTTGCCTGTGGGTCACACCAACATTGTGCGTGCGTGATATACTTCCAGGTAACAGAGTGTCCTTTGTTTTTTACCAGAGAAAGCAAGCACCCATCAAAATCCTAACCAATTAGCCCACTTCACAATCTATTTTGGCATGCTAATCCCAAAAGAAAGCACATTTTGATTTTTTATCGTCAGAAACATCCTATTTTTTTCTTCGTAAATTCTCTATATTCTTTTGTAGCTTCAGTTAATACGAACAGAGCAAATACAAACATTCTTTTGTGTTCTGTAACAAAACGAGACTATATAAAACCAGTGAATCCTTTTTAATTTCGCGTGAATTTCGTCTACATAGTGTTGTTGAATGGAGAATGACGCTCTTTTATGAGTGCGAAAGTTTATGTATTTGATGTAATATAAAGTATAGAACAAAAATAAATGGTCGTGTGTATGTGATCCTATGTCTGTACATATTTCTAAGGGGAAATTCTTGGATTAATTTGGGCATATCGAAGACGCAGTTTTACGCAGGTCGCCATGGTAGAAATTCTAGAGAACAGCCTTGATTTAACTATTAGCTAAGGTCAGATTTTTCACATTAAGAGACTCCGATAAAATTTCAAATTGCTTAATCGAAAAGGAAATTATTATGATAAAAATTAAATTACTAAAAATGATTGATTGTTTCGGACTCTAACCGTCATCTTGGATTTTTTATCAGAACGTTTTGGTTGGTTTGATCTCTGATCAATCTCAGCTGGATACTTTTATCCGATCTGTTCTTATTTCGAAGGGAACCATCTGTTTCTCTGCAGGGGGTAAAAATACCTTGTCAAGTACAGCATTATTTCTAGGGATTCAAATCGCAACTATAAGGAAAAATGTTTGGTCCCCACTAAGATTTGACCTCGAGGTCATTGATTGATAGTTACATATTTATAATTAATTGAAAACGTCCTCAGCCTAAATCAGGGTCGCTAGATTTGATGTGCATTTGAAAACTTAGCGCTCCTAAATTTTGAACTTTTCTCATTAGTCGCCCAAGTTAGTCTAGATTAATTAAAAAAATACCCCAAATGTCTCAAGTAGCGAAATTCAATATTTAGTAGCACTGGGCATAAAAAAAGGTAGAAGCCCTGGTATATATATATATATATATATATATATATATATATATATATATATATAAAAGTGCATTTAGACAGCAAGAATTAACCCAACAAAGATTTGGTTAAAATTAAGCGACAAAGTCTGTCTATTTCATTTTTTATTGTATATTTTTCCAATTTCCGAATGAGATGTTTTACATCGGGACTGAAATTATGAATAAAACTGGCCAAAGTCCGTGTATTTGTTTTGTTCAAGTATAGTTAACTATTTTAGTCATTATCAAGAATCGAGTGCTGTCACTATGTAAACAAATTTTGATGACTAATTCCTGGCGATTTTAGATCATTGAAATTAGATGCAGTTTAAAGTGTCGTTATATATAACGCTTAAACGGAAATGCGACAAACAAAAAACATACAAATAATCGCCTGATTTTTCTTTTTTTTTTTTCCTTTATTTTTACCTTTCTGATAACACCCAGTTCTTGATAATGATCGAAATGATCAAATGTACTTGAAAAAAAAAAAAAAAAAAAAAAAAAAAAAAAAAAAACAGAGAAACATAAATCTTGGACATTTTTATTCATAATTTCAGCACCGATGTAGATCTCATTCGGAAATTGAAAAAACAAAACAAAACAATCATGAACTTTGTTGGTTGAATTTAACAAAACTTGAAACTAGAAATCCAAAATTACCTCATTCAATGAGCTACTTCGGGATTTCTAATATATGTATTTTATAAGCTCTGTTATAATAAATACAAAGACCTCTATTTGTGAATCAGATTTAATATTTCATATCATTAGGAATCAGTTGGATTATATACCTTCGGATTATTACCTATATATATATATATATATATATATACACACACATATATATATATATATATATATATATAAGTGAACACTGAAGTCAACACTCCAGATGTGACAGGCTGTTTCATGCTGGACTTAATTGTCAGGTGGCCTGACGATTGCGTCCAGCATGAAACAGACTATCGCCTCTGAGTGTTGACTTCAATGTTCACTTTTATATTTATATTTACATTGAGCACTTTATTCCATAAATATAGCGCACCTTAAAACTATATTTATTTATATATATATATATATATATATATATATATATATATATATATATATATGTGTGTGTGTGTGTGTGTCAGGAGGACAGTAGGTAGCATTTAAATTTTGCATATATATATATATATGTGTGTGTGTGTGTGTGTGTGTGCCAGGAGGACAGTAGATAGCATTTAAATTTTTGCAGATTAAAGTTGTCTGGAAAGTGCCGGAAGTGAGTTTCACTAGTTAGAACTACGAGAAAAGAAACTGTTAGCACAGAACTTACGACTACATTTAGCCAGTTCAACTGTAAATTGACGAGATCACGACGCCAGTCTAGTACTAGGCTTAAATTAAGAAAGTCTGGAGCCTTTTTTATGATTTCATGCTAGCACAACCATCAATAGCTTCCGAACTGTTTTATCTACCCAACTTAACTCACATGGCTTGGGTCAAGTCAACCCATAGTATCATTTTCAGGCACTTCTCAAGTTCCTCATTATCAATACAGCTCTTTGATACATCGACCATGGTGAGATTCGTATCCAGGTTTCATGCAACGCTAACGTTCTAACCCATCGGCTACACGCCCATTATCGAGAAAAATATCCAATCAATTAACATTAAATCGACATATTGATCGATTATGTTTGTTAGGGAACTTGAAAGATCAAAGCACTCCTATTATAAATCTTAAGCTGTTCAATGAAGTTTTGCTCTAAACAAACCATTTACCATACGTTTAAGAAGTTGTCAGATCCACATCAGCACAATAGATTGATGAACAACCTCTAATTGTTGCTTAAAACGTCATGAAGTATCTTTATTCCCTGCTAGCCATCTAATAACCCCCTTGAAGTCGACTACAGAAAAGAGGAACTCCGAAGTTGGTTATTTTAGCGAGCAGTTCAAAGTAATTTCAGATTTTTAAGTGGGTTGGATGTTCGAGTGGTGTGATGGGCAACGGCTCGGAATAAGAAATCAGAGAGTCAAGTTCATTACAGGGAAAGGTATGAATCCATATCATCTCCCCCCCAGCTATGGGTTAAATAACAGGATAGCCTTGGTTGACAGCCAGTATATCGCAGAAAGTAACGGCAGCGCAGCGAGGGAATTCTTGTTCCAAGTTAATCATGAATCGAAAAGAGATAAGAGCGTATCACCAACGGCACCTAAGAAAGGAACGAATGGTTTGGTGAAGGTGATAACATCTGATGTCATTAGCATTTCATATTTTTGAGTGAAATAACGTCTTAAAATTAATCCATCAAGCACAGACATCCATTAATCTTTGAGTTTATATTGCCATATTCACGATGTTTCGGCCGTTGTACGCTCCAGCCTTCTTCAGGTGATTGGAATTTCGAACTGAACCCTTTGTTTCGTCCACCGGAGTAGATTGTTCTAGTTCCACGTGCCATACCTCTTCCAGAAGTCTCAGTTACCTCACTTTAACTAAAAATTTTTATTCACCATTCCAGGTATTGAACATAACTTTTGGGGTCAAGTCACTGGATCCAACCAACACTTTTATCCACTGGGCTATGAGGACATCAGTGTGTGTGTGAAATTTTTGGACTTATAAACTTAATGTCTCAGTAACCATTATTATTATTATTATTTTTATTTTTTAGAATTTTTTGTTTGGCTTCTTGAAAAAAAAAACAATAAAAAAAAAAGTTAAGAGAAAGATAGTGACACGTATAGAGAGATGCGAAAGAAGGTAGAAAGAAAAAGCGAGGAAAAGAGACGGAAAACCAAGGTTGTAATATAGTGGACATTAGAGTTACAAAGAAGAATCTTTGATTTAAACACAGTTGCTACAACCCCGGATATTTTCAAAAGGTAGACTATAATCAAAAGGTCAGTTATGCATACCTGATAGTTGCTAATAATGGGCACTTGCATTGCAAAGAAATTAAAAGGCATTCAAAATCTCCCTAACGTAGTAATAAATTGTGGTTATTAGTGTTAGCTTGATTGTTTATGACGTATCGCAATTGAGTTGAACTAAGAATTCACACTGGGTGAGTAACTGTCACTATCTCATGCGATCTTGATACTCGAGATAACCGATATTAGATTAGTGGTATTTATGTATGTGGTGTGTGTGTGTGTGTGTGTGTGTGTGTGTAAAAAAAAAAATCTGCGTTTGCATCCGAAGAATACAAAAATAATTACCGACATTAATCGATTTCAGAGCAATTCTGCTGCATGACTAATTTGTAACCATATATTTAACAATTACGTATTTTCTAACACCCCCGCCACAACTGATTACTTACTACGGTTTTGTCTTAACGTTAATTGTCTGCAATCAAAGTGCTGAAAAGTTCTCAGCCTAATTCAGAAATTTGTTGGAAAGGACTTAGTAGGACCGAGAACACTTAAGTAGCCTTTCGTACTATGGAAAAAATTCAAACATTGCCTTCAAAACAGCAGTAAGTTATTCCGTGGCCAAGCTAGTAGTCAGTGTGGGTGCTCCCTCTGCAGAAAATTTTTTACACTCACGTGAAAATAATATCAAATTTTAGTGTATAGATTCATATTCGCAGTCTTAAAGGCAGCCACATTCTACTCAAAGAATTCTAGTGAAGAACATATTCATGTCGTACTTAGCTTCGGCATTTTTTTTTTAAATCATTTCACCCCAAGCGAGGCAACAAAGCTACCAAGACACAGAATGTGAAAGAATATGAGAAAAACATTAAGGAACGAGAACAATAAAAGAACAGAAATTAAGAAGACAGGAGATAACGATTGACATTAAATTTAAATTTTTAAAGCTCAAACTTGACTGGAAAGCAAGTAACCGGAAGAGAGTTTCACAAGCGACACGAGAGAGAGAAGGAACTGTTAACATAGGACTTACGGTTACATCTATTCATTTTGACTTAAAAAATTATTTTATCGCCAAACGAAAAATTGGATAACACACAAACTTTGTATGTTTGAGATTTATCTCCGAAGAACCAACGACTTAGATAATTTTTATGTCTCAGTTTACACAAGGTCAGTTTTGTATTAAATAGTTATATGCGAATGAATAGATTAAAACAATGACAGACATGAAGAAATGTGTCTAGAAAAATTCAATATACTGTATCATACCCCCAAACGAATGAGAAAGTCTGGTAGAAAATAATCTTTCATTCGACCCTGGCGTTGCAACACCCGAAAGATCTAGATTAAATCACAAAACCACATCATTTGAACATTCTCAGCAGCAATAGCAAAAATGGTGAGCACATGTAACTAAAACAGAAAATAATGATTTAATAAAGCTTTTAATTTTTTTCTCACTACCAAGAAACAAAAGCTTCGGAAGGAAACACTCATCAATATTAGAAAGAGCTATAAAAGTGAACTCGAAAAATCTTCATTTTGACCATTGATACAACAAACCAGCCCACAGCCACATGGGATACGAATTTTGATCTGAGAATTCAGTATAAGTAAACATAAAATGTCAGTATTCAATGGCTACCAACATTGAAAAGAAATAGTGAACAAATTTCATATCCAAAAAGAATTTTTCCGCCATCATAAAAACGATAAGTTTCTTACCTATTGTAATGACAAAAGTACGCAGACGTAGGCTTTAAGAAAGCTTTATTCAAATGAGAATACAAGCTTTGCGTATAGTGTCATTTTATAATCCTAGTAAACAGAAATAGCTCTCTCAAAGAGGAGAGTAACAAAACAAGGGGAGACCACTCCTGATTATTCATAACTTCTTAATATGAGCGCAGACATACAATCTTTACTGCACACAGAAAATTAACAAATTTTATCATTATAGAATTATTATCTTTTTTAATTTAGTTTAATTTGTTAAAATTGTGACCGTTTTATTTTCTTTAATATTTATTTCACCTTCCAAATTTATAGCTGTTCGAAATATTTAAAATACAGAAAAATAATGTAAATGTACTAAAATGTGTCAGTTATTTTAAGTCTTATTTCTAAACTGTGAGCGCCTAGGCGTAGGGCAAAGATTAGCTAGGCTAATCTGCGACTGAATTCGAGCCTCACTGTATGTTCAAGACAAAATTCTACATTAAGTAACCTAACAAGAGTCAATATGTAAAGTCACCATGGGCACCTCGAGGTGGTGTAATGGTTAGTAAGCTTGTTTCGCTAGAACAATTACGGTTGAGTAGTGAGTTCAATCCTCACTGGGTGTCCCTTACTTTCGGCCTTGTGTCACATTCAAGCTACGCTTGGAAAATCACTATGTAAAATCACCATAAACTAACTGTAATGATAAAAGTACCCAGGTGTAGGCTTTAAGAAAGCTTTATTCAACTGAGAATACAATGTTCGCGTATAGTGTCCTTTTATAGTGCCAGTAAACAGAAATAGCTCTTTCAAAGAGGAGGGTAACAAAACAAGAGGAGACCATTCTTGATTATTCATAACACTAACCTAAATCGTATAAGTGCACTGTCGACTTTTATCTGGTCGTATAATTAAGAAATTTAAAACATCAACTAAGAAGCAATCGATAAGGAAAACTAAAACTCACTGTTTAGAATATATAATTTAAAAAATCATGTTTTCTCCATAACAGACGTGTAAACCTAGGTAAATAGGCAAAAATAATTCCGCATATAGCCTAAGGAGTTACGAAACGTCACACTGAAAGTACACACAGGTGGCCACCAGTTAATGATTTGTTGCAGTTTGTTACACTGATGTCTGATTGAATAATAATAATAAAAAAAAAAAAAAAAAAACTCGTTAGCTGCTAAATTAATCGGTAACTTTTCTATTAAGCCACTAACGATAAACTGTGGTTTTTACTTTAAAAGAAAAAAAATTGCTGTGAGCAAAATAGAAAACTAATTACTGAAGTTTTACTTTTCACTAACAACTCCAACATATTCCTCCATTTTTACATCCGAATAATTTTCTATCATATTTAAAATCTCCAATTTTAAACAAAAGCAAAACAAACTTTTTGATTTTTTGTTTAAAGTAATATTTAAAGAAACTACTTTTTTAAATTTAAGTAGGCGGACTATCAACTCATTTTCAGCTTGTATGTATGTTTAATATGAAACAAATTTGCGTATCTCTCCATACCCCATTTTAATTAAAATTATAAATCGATTTTTGTAAATATGAAATGGTGATCTTTTTATCTATTGACTGATTTTTTTTTACGGCTTGTTAACCGTTTTTGTAGGTTATTTAAAGCCAGAAAATATTTTTGCATTGTAAGATTTTTGCGAGATAATGATTTACTGATCCAAGTTTTACTATTTAACCCATAGTTGTGGGAGAGAAGAGAAAAAAATCATACCTTTCCCAAGGGTATTTAAGCATAAGCGAATAGAACGAACCCGACTGGAATTGGAACTAGGCACAACAGTTATCCATTACACCACCCGCACATCCATGTTGATAACACCTCGTATTCCCAAGTGGTCGCCCATCTAGGTACTGACCAGGCTCGACGTTGTTGAACTTCAGTGATCGGATGAGAATCCGTGTTTCAACGTGATCTACCCGTAAGGCGGAATGGGGATCTATCAAATAACACATTTCATATATTTACGGAATAATGGCGCCATCTTTGATATCATATTATAATACATTGCTTATTTTCTGGAAGTCATCTTTCGCTGTTGCAATGTGCTTTCAAATTTCTGTGTAATATTTACTGTTTTTTTTTTTTAAGTAGCCAGGTAATTAAAAGTACGTAGTTGTACATATGGGCTGTATCTTCTGCCAACCGTCATGCATTATCTTAGAGACAATAGATAGTCCTTTCTTCTTGCTTTCCATTAATAACTTGTCTGAGAGTTCTTTGTTTCCTTTCTGAGTCTGCCATCAAAATTGTGTTATCCTCTATGTATCTTTGAAACAGTCACTTTCCGAATGCACATGGCAATTCCAGCGCGCCTTATATTGGACTCAAAAACACCACGGAAATCCTTTTCCTGAAGGACGTCCAATATTTCTTGCAATTCCCTTTTAATTAAATCTACTGATCCCGATTTCATTCATTTGTTCGATTATGGTTCACATGGGTGAATTCTCGAATTTTTGTCTATGTATTCTTGTGTTTTGTTGGTGAGTGATAGACCTGAATATTCGTCTTGAACCCACACTCGATCGTCTTTGAAACGCACATCCCGCTAAAAAACATACCGAAGCAAACATTTAAAAAAAAAAACTGTAATCAAATTTAACTAAATCTTAAGGAACTCCTATCTTGACGTTAGTGTAACTTAACTCAAAAAAGCAAATGAATGTAAAAAGAGTTACTAAACGTGTTATTTTAAACTGTATTCCAGAATTCTACCAATTCTATTAGTTTACTTACACTGAACTTTCTTTTCTGTTGACTGAGTCCCAAGCATAAAAAATAAGTAACTGGAGAGTCAAAATACTAATTTTATTATATATATATATATATATATATATATATATATATATATGTGTGTGTGTGTGAAATTGAATCAAATATGTATTGAAATCCGACAGAATGATAAATAAGGAACAAATCGGAACCGTCTGTAAATTTAACATATTTCGCTTTTATTTAATATACAGCAGACATTTTTGTAAATGAGTTGTAGAAGAAAATGCTCAGGTACATTTGAGTTGTTTTCATTGATCAGGTAGATCTCATGTATTTATGTCTCATGGTGTTAGTGTGTGTATGTGTGTCTGCGTGCGTAGTGGACATTTTTTTGTCCCTGCCTGGTAGTCTCCGTTCGTTTAAATGGTAGTGGGAGGAAGATAGGAAAGGTGTACCTGTTCGTGTGTGTGTATCCAATTTCTAGTTGGTCTTGTGGGAGTTGGTGGTGTCCGTACGCGTATTGTCTGTTGGTAGGAATTCTCTGGCTGAGTATAATAATAGAAATCAGGATTTTGGATATTAATATTCAAGGGAGACAGATTCTTTCAACTGGAAAGATTGAAGAAACACAATTTTCCTGTTACCATTCTCTTTATTTGCTAATCTCTTGTATTAAACGAAGCTTAGCAAATATCAAACGATAGAAGACACTAATGACAATGCGAATGAACCTAGAAAAGATGATTTGGGGGACTGGCTTTTGTCTTTACCTTTTTTTCTCTTTTGGCATTGAGAACATATTTGAGACAGGAAGTAAAACTCTTTTTCTTTTCAAAATGCCATGCGTGATACACGCTTAGGCGATCATGTATCTTTCGATACATGACTAACGAGGCAGATTTTTTCCCGCAGTAGGTTGCTATTTCTTTCTGCCGTAGACCAGTTGGCATCCAAAGTTATAGAATCCGGTCTGTTCTGCTATTTACCCATAGCTGGGGGGAGAAGAAGAAGATTCATTCCTTTCCCAAGGGTATTAGCACGTAAGTGAAAGTAATGGATTCGACTGGAATTCGAACTCGGTTCTCCGATTCCTCAATCCGAGCCGCTATTTATTACTCTGCCGTTCAATTTTCGTATGGTTGAATAAAGCACAGGTAACTCGTGTCTTTTAAATCTCATACTTGTGAGCAATCGGAGCAAATACAAGAGCATGTTGATAGAGACAGTAAGAAAAAAACAGGGAAACTAAATTGGAATTATCTAGAAAGAGGTTGGATTTCAACTACTGATGAGTGAAGATGTTGTAGAAAAATCTAATGGATCATGGTGTTGAAGATAAAATAGGAAATAAGAAACAATCAGAGGTTATAATAGTAATATCTAGTTGGGTTAAAAACGATGGGGAATAAAACATAACATCGGTCGAGCTGGAGGCAGTAAGGAACGCAGTACTAGGGGACAGAAGCTAATTTAATTTACAGAAATAACAGTGATGGCGGCCAGAAAGTAGGAATGAACGTTTGTAATCCACAGGGAAAGAAAAAAAAACGTGTTTCTCTGAAACAAAAATAACGGAGTAGGAAGAAAGAGAAAATAGATTATTAAATATGTAGAAATAAGAAATCTTATTTCATGTGTCATATCTCTTCAGAATGTGGGCGATCATGGTTCTTCACAACTTCCTTTCCTCTGTGACTCAAAACGAAATTTTCTCCTTTTATTATCTCTCGCAGTCCCACTTCTACCATCCATTTCGATATGTAGATTACCCGGAGTTTCTTTATGCACTTTTTGCCCGTGTTCAATTCTTCAAGTCCTCTTTCCTCATTATATGTCCCAGAAATTTCAATGTCACTTTATGATTCTTAGACTCATGATTAGACTTTATGATTCATTTTTGTTCCAATTTACCTTAAAACTTCCTCATTACTCACATGTTTAGTCCATGGTATTCTAAGCAACCTTCTGTAGAACCACATCTTTGTTGCTTCATTTTTACTCTTCATCTGTGAGGAAATTGTCTAGTATTTAGTGAAAGAAGAGAATTAATATTAAATAGTAGCTCAGTATTCTCTTTTTTTTTTGATTTTAATAAAATTTTTCTATAGCTCTATGTTTGTCCCCTTACTGTCACACTTCATTCCCTGAGATGTCACCTGTTTACACACGCTTGCTGTTTTTCTCTACTCCTCTTGACTTCAATGACCTGTGAGCGTCAAATTTTCCTAGCGCTCTTTCCTCATTATGTATTCTAGAAGTTTTTTCTACTAAGTACATGTGTTCTTTTAGTTTTTTTTCCCCCATAAAACTTACTCATTACTCGTATGTTCAGTCCATGGTATTCTCAGCAGCATTCTGTAGTACGTCCACGTTGCTTCAAGTTTCATCTTCAGCCGTGTGGAAATTATTCAGCATTCACTGCCACATAAATAGATTGATATTACATAGTTGTTCAGCATTCTTTTCTTTACTTGCATTATTTTCATTATTCGGACTGTTATCCTCATCTTCATTGCCATATTCACAACTTTTCGGCCGTGGTACACTCGACCTTCTTCTTGTGAATATGACAATGTAAATAATGGAAGTAATCATAATACCTCATTTCAGAGATATAGACAGATATTCTTTTCTTTGTTTCTAACGAAATTTTCCTGATTCTTAATATTTTGCTTAGCTTTCAGAAGGCATCTTTCGTTGTTCCAGTAAACAAAATTGTGGTGAACATTCCCGTAGAAGCAAGCGAGCCAGAGTGCCTTGCATCTGGTGCATAGGAAAATAAGGGTCTTAACTCTATGTGCGGCACGTGGCATCGGCAAGTTTGCTCCTTGAAAATGGTATTACTCTCCTGTGTAGCCATTCCAGCAGCATGTGCGGTAACGAGGGTTTTTGTACAGTTTGGCATGCTTCGACTAATAGCAAGTCGTGTGCTGATTGGTCGAACTGGAGGAGGCTATTTACCTGGGTAACTGAGAATAAAAGCGATGAACGCTGATTAGTTTGTCGACTGCAGTGTTGACCTGATAAAAGATGGCAGAAACAGTAAGAACGGGAGAAAAAGACGGATTTACGTTTTGAAGTGTGCGGAACGGCGGATTGAACCAGCGGTATCTGGAACTGTACGAACGACGTTCGAGTATTAGAGACTCATTTAAGCTATAAAAATACTAAGAGATAAGCATGGCAATCACATAAAAGGTTACGAATTGGTCATGCCGTTTGCATGTTTGAAATTCATAAATGTTTTATATTACAAACACAGTTATATATATTTAGCAATAACGAAATACTCTTCTGATGAAAATCAAAGTAACAAATTGAATAAAACAAAAACAAAAGAACTGAAATAAAAGCTATTTTCACCAAGTATAAATTAAATCTTAAACATACTCATGATCGGTCAAAGCTACAAAAACATATTTGAATATGGAACAAATTTCTCCTAACAGAGATGTGATCAATGCATTTGTAAAATCTTTATATTAGTAAGACATAAATATTTTTGAATGACATAGGAAATTAATTTTAAAAATTCACCACTAACTTCGGCCACTGATAACATTTCGATAAATCTGAAACATTTTTTGGTACTTCTTCAGCACACATCATGAACAAGTAAAATAAAGTAGCAGGGATGAAAGTTCATTGGATCAGATCCAGAACTAGGACCTTTACACTCCTTAGAGGAAACCCTGATGATTAACCATATCTTCAGAGATGTAGCCGTACTCACCACATTTGTCCAATTACGGCTTGGTGAGGCTAAATAGTTGGAGGCTTTGAATTCACAGTTATTGTCCATCTCGTAGACCGATTTCCACCCAGGGCTATAGGACCCACTATCAGTCTGAAGTAAAACTAGACCAGCAAGGAAGATTATCTCGTATCAATTTCACATTTCAATTACGATTCCTTACATTTATCGGCATTTAGTAATTAACATTTAAAAACAGCGTCGTGTAGTTCTGTCTGGATCATTTGGAGTAAAAGTTGAAGTGTGCTGGGCGGAGTTGTAAGGACTAACAAGTCGAGCTTGACATTTGCGTGATATTATTAATAATGTAAATGCATTTTTTTAGATAACGATCTTCATGTTACGATTGACATTATTATTCCTTATTAATCTCATCAGAAATAAAGTTGTTGGATTGCGCGTATAAATTGAAATCAAACAACAGAATCAAGGCACTGG